GCAGATGCGGTTGCGCTTTTCGAGGGCAAAAAAACGGAGAAAGTTACATTGACAGCAGTTGCACCCTCTTAATAAACTTCACAGCTTCACACGTTACCTTCTTTGTGAACGCGGTATGCGCACATACTCCCAAAATTTCAATCTTTAGCTTTTCTGGTTCTCGAGCTGAAAGTGAGTGACAAAAAGTGCGAACACACACACACCGCCTCTTTTCAATACGCGTTTCAGAAATAAGTAAGCATTTGGACCGTAGCATCCGCCAAATTGCATTTGCCTTTTGAAATTCCTTATGATTTTTTAAGCGCCGAATTGCTACGGACGATCAGAGTGTACAGTTTCCCAGAGTGTATTGGAGAGGGACAGCAAAACTGACTTTGTTGATTGATTTTATCTACAGTGCAACTCTAATCCTACAAAACCGGCGATTTGCATAATTTCATGGCCGCTTCCGCTTGCACTAGGCACCCCAGAATGCACGCATCGCTTTATATTATTTTCCCAGTTCTTGTTGGTGCTATTTCAGTGATCAGTCTTCTGTGTGCTACTGAATTAGCAGCTTCTTAGCAGCTTTCCCCCAGCCGAAGCCGAAGTCTTTTTTGCGAAATGTACCCCCTCCTCTCTTATTTTTTATGATTTCCGGTGGCCAGAATCTCTTATGGTAGGGTGTATAGATGTAGATATCCGAGAAATTGCCTCCTCTACTAGGAACAGGCTGTCACGAAAAAGTTGGAGGAAGAGGTCTGGGAGGATCAGAGTTGGAGGGAAAGGGTTGGGAGGATCCATCTGAACTCATTTCTTCTCCCGGCAATAGCGCGTGGCATTTTTGACTGTCTTCGTGCTGGGTTTTGCCTTTTCCCTGCTTAATTTAGGTCTCTACGTTCGTCGTATGGATGACGACATCGTCGATTTGTTGGTTGTTTGCAGTGTAGCCTTAGTTGCATTAATTGCTCTCACATATCTCGTCACAAAAGTTTGTTTTTTTATTTTCGTTTATGTAAAATTTTCGGTGATTTACGGTATTGAGCGCATAAGGAAGGTGTGAAGAAACAACAAAATTCATGCAACTATTTCAAGTTTGATGCAAAAACGCATGATCGCACCGGCTGTTGCCATTTCCTCGACATTGATTCCTCCCATGCATTAACTCGGCTTCCAATGCCATCTCCAGCTTTTTTAACTATTTCTCTGTCCGAGTAAAACGAGGGCAGTCGGGTGCAGACTTTTTTTCGTAACCGTCTATGGTGCTGTTTTCTCAATAAGGTAGCCGTCCGCGCAAGATATGTTCGCAAATTAATGACTTCGCTAAGAGTGATCCCGGCTTTTTAAGTCTTCTGGTTCCTGAGTTAACAATTTTCCCGCCGAAACTTTTATGTGGAAGTTAGTACCAGCACTTGGTCAGGGAACCCATTGGCAAAAGAGCGTCAAGGCCTCTTGCCTATTTGCCGAGTTGAAATATTTTTTGGTGCTGATCTGTTTTGAAAGAATAACAGTAATGGTCGAAGTGCAATTTTTAAGATGTATCTTTTCTACTAATTTTTCTTTCTCAACGCCTTCTTGATTTTTCACTAACCCATGTTAAAATTAGTAAAATTGGTTGACTGTCTGTGTTTACAGATTAGGGATGAAATACAGACAGACCGTTTTTTTTTTTTTTATCATACTCTTCTGTACATAACCCTTCTACGTTTCCTACTCAACAATTTTCTCTGGCCTATTTCAATTTTCTCCTCTTTCGTTTGCGGATCTGCTTATGTTGGCATTTTTAATATGTTTGTATTTTAATTCCTGACCCTTATTACGTTGGCCGGTGTTTGCAGCCTTCTGAACAGGCTGTTTATAGTTTCCATTAATATGATCCTGGTAGGGCCTGCACGGTCCGTACTGTTCTTCTTTCTGTAACTACCACCTTTAACAATTATTTTTGTATAAGATGTCTGCAGCTCTATTTCAAAATCATAGCCATTACTTAATTCTTTTTTACTTTAATTATTTTTCAATCTTAACAAAAAATATACAGTTACCACAGCCGTCGTACTGACGAGGTCCAAGTGTGGTAAAGGTAAGAAATGTATACGACTTAATGGACCGAAACATTTCTTAATTTATTATTTCCATTTATATTTTTCCTTCTTCATTCTTTTTATTTTCTTCATTACCTCTTTTTACTTCTTCCAATTACATTTTCACTTACCCTTAAATAAATAGTAGTATTACAACGTGGTTATTGCCTTCGTTTATCGTCTTGTTTTAGACATATTCAGATCGGATCCGGATGCGATTAGTTTGGTGCAAAAAGGAAAAAACGAGAGAAATTGCTGTACCAAATGTTACCTCCATGGCGCAACGTAAAAAAGCAACAGGATCGAGCAGAAAATTTGGAGTTTCGGGTGGAGGTGGTATAGCAAAGCGAAATGAGTGAGTTTTTTTGGTAGATCCTCAGGGAAGAAGTGAGCAGGTGTTATTATCCATTCTTTCACTGCTATACTTTGAATGGAATGAATAGAATCATAAATATGAACTGTGAATATGAACCATGAATATGAATATGAACCATGAAAACCAATGAATTAGAACCAATGCGAATATTTTTTCCCACTCATTTTTCGCCAGAAATTAGCCTTATCTGATCGTGTAACGCCTGAATTGCGGCGATTGAAAGATGAGCTGAATTTTTTTGGCTGTATTTTTCGTCTGATTTTATTCCTCGAAAGGAATAAATGCTGTGGAATTATTTGGGGAACAAGGGAGGGGGGTGATTTAAGAATTCTGTTAATTTGTAACGTTCGGGAGGAGGAGCTGGAGTATCTCCCTGGCTGCGGGGAAGCGCTCCGGCAGTTGAGGAAATGCACTCAACACCAAGCAACAAGATACATCCCTTTATTAGTACAGTCTCACAAAGAATAATTAGAAAAAAAAAGAAAGCAACCAAGCTGGGATCCGCCCGGCAGCAA